GAATTTTGACTGTGACCATAGGTAAAATGCCACACATTCTGTTGCACGGCGTATTTTGTTACACCATCATACTGAAATGATGGAGTGACTGTTAAAGCATCTGGATTGTAAACTGGGCTACAAACACAACACAGAGGAACAAGGAACAAACTCCTGTCAAAAGCTGAAGCATGTAGCCTAGCTTTGCTAGCATTGGCGTGAGATGTAAGATAAAATACAAGGAAATACGTAATGTGATTTAACTGTCATTCACTCATGTTAAGACATTTTGGTTGGTTTTCACAAGAGTTTTCCTTTATAGACGATTAATATGGGGAATCAGCTGAATTTGTTGTTCTCAACCTCACTGATGTTACTGTAATAAATATTACCACTGCTAACTGTTGGTAAGAACTGGTTTACATACACATTAGACTTCACATTAAGGTCACACATCCTTCAGTAAATCAACAGTAAATGTCTCTCAAAGTTTAACTTTGCTTGATTGGGTAAGCAAACTGAGAAAACCTGAGTGAAAGGCACTAATCCAAAACAGCTGTACCTCCAGCTGGGTCACTGAGAAAATAAGAGTAAACATAAAGTAACCACCAGAAAATAGGAGTATTGGCTATATCAGGATTTCAATTGCAGTATCAATTCACAGAGGTACATAGTATTGTCAGTCTGACCTACAGAAAACAGAAATCACAGAAAGTTAGGGTTTTTAATAACTCATTGGTCTATCTTCATTTATCCCAAGTCACCAGTACTCAAACTTAACATGGCAGAACAAATGACCCTTCAAAACATGGAGAAATAAGGGGATTTGTATTTTAATAAAAGAGCACTTAATATAAAATTAGGGTAAAGGAAGTAACCAAGGTTACAGAAAATTCTGCCCTAAAATTCAGGGCATCAAGCTTCCTGTTATTTCCCTACTTCCCATCTCCAAAGTTATAGTTCATTACCCTTCTGCTTACCTTACCCCACTCCTTCATTCCCCCAAATTCACAATACACACTTTAGCTTCCTGCTTCAACTCTGATGCACACTCTCCTCCAACCTCAAACACCCACCACCTTCCTCCAGGGCCTAGGTATGAAACAGCAGGAGACAGCTTTGTCCCTCAACTACATCCAGGGAGCCTCCTCTTCCCCTTTACCTTCCTGCTGTTACAAAACTGAGTGTATGAAGAAGCAATGGGAATTCTGATCCAGTTTCAACCAGGCAGGGAGCATTAACTTTAATTTTTTGCATTAATCCTCTTTTCTTCTACAGGGGGTATGACAAATACTTTCTCTCCAGTATACACTTGCCTAAAGACTAGTCTGTTCCTTAGAAAAATGTCAGAAATGCTCTGTCATCTGCAGCAACCCTAACCGGTTGCTTCTCTTGGCAGACAAGGAAGGAGGAAAGCTTTCAAATCAAACAATGCTGGCAAGTCATACAACCACTGAGATCTGAGATCTCAAGATCTGTCAACACTGGTATCACCACAGGCCTAAACTAGAGAGTGTTCTTTGCAAACTCTTACCATGTTTCCTTCCTCATCCTTCGTTGAACTTAATCAGAGTTTACTACAACTTGGCCTTTAATTGCCAAAACCCAGGAATTCAGAATTATTTCTCTCTAGACACCTGTGCTATTCACATTTACCATCCTGTAAGACAACCTTATCATAGAGGTGAGATTTCTACGTTATGAAAAGCAACTGCTTCCTCTAGTCCACAGCATTTGATATCCAACAACAAATAACACACTTAATAGTCTTAGCATGAGACACAAAATTTGTTTGCACAGAGAATAAATTTATAACATTCCATTTCCAACCAAAATGCACCTTGCATCCTGCAGTTGGTGAAGACGATCAGCAGCAGAAATCCTGTTCTATTTCAGGGAGAATGGTGTAGCATTACAAACCCTTCAGAGCCCCTCCGTGGTTACTCATGAAAAAGCATTCCCATAGCCTTCAAAAGGCCTGAGTTTTCAACCACCAGCATCCTGTGACATACATGAAGTCTGCAAAATTAAGCAAGGTCAAAACAGGAAACTTCCTCCATCTGTCTCCTCAGGATCATCAGTTCTCTGAAAAGAGGAAACCCAGGATCATTTATTTTGTGTTCAGAAGACAGAAAGCAACAAAGTCAAATGGGACTATAATAAAGCAAAATATATTTCAGATAAGGAGAAAAGGCTGTTTGATCTAATTAATCCTTTTCTTTTTAATATAACCATTATAAATTTTCCTTTTGATGTTTACCAGCTTCAGCTGGCTCACATCTGTGAGTACAGCAGTATGAGCAGAATTTCAGATGTCCTCAGATGACATGCTTCTCTGATGCATTCACAGTTGTTGTTGGATTTTTTTGTTTGGCTGCTTTTTCTTTCGGGGGCGGGGGGTGGTACTTTTCCTGCATTTCCAGGAGCTGCACTGTGATAATAGTAATATCTGGGGCAATAAGCAAAATGGGGTTATAAAATGGATCCAGGTTTACAATAAAGAAATTACTTAAAGTCATTTTGCAAAGGGGCAGTTGCTTGAGAGAAAAGATTTAAAATCTGACAAACTAGAGTGAAGCCACTCTCACGAAGTTTCCCTCAAACTAAGAAGAGAAATGGGAGCTGCCCTTCCAAACTAAACTAAGTCCGAAGAATAACCTGCCAGATGTTGTATCAGACTATTTAAAGTGTCAGAGAGACAATAATGTTTTATCTGCGTCTTTCTAGATACTGAATCAGTATACTGTTCTGGTATGCCCATCCTTGCAAAGCAGCAACATAGTCCAATATTTGTGGAGAGTATTTTACAATATTCATTCATGGACTAAGCATTAAGAGACAGATGAGCAGGGTCTTCCTGTTGGCTCTACTGCTGAGACCTCTAACTGAGGTTAGACGGCCTGAAAATTTTGTTTACTATCTAGGTGGCAATGAAAAGGACCTCCTGGCTTTAGGCATAAATTTATTCTATTTTTCATAGGAAAAAACTGTATTAACATAGTTTTACCTATTAATTAAATTAAAATGAGTATCACATTAATAATGCTTTGTTAAACTCCTTTATTAAAAAAAGGCCAATGGGTACTTGAAAAGAAAATTTCCCATGTACATGGTTTTCTGACTCAAACCTTCCTAAATAATTCATGGACCTCACACAGAAATAATTGCCTTGGTGTGGTATATATGCCCAAGAGCAATGAATCAAATGTGGGGGGGGAGGAAAGGATCTGTAACCTGCAAGCTTTATGAAGGAAGCACCAGGCCCCAGAAGAGGCCTGTTCTATGCCAGCAGATGGCATCATTACTTCTCGTTAGGAAAAGGGATCAAAGGAAAACATCTGTGTCATCAACAAAAGCTGTGGCCACTGCGTAGATATTTTTGCTCTTTTATTTTCACATAAAATAGAATGCTTTGCCTAAGGTGCCGTTTTTGTATTCCAGTGGGCAGTGGCAGACAAAAGCAACAATCTGACCATACCAGGAGGCTGAAAGATACAGAAAATAGTGAATCTCACTGTAATGGCACACTACAGATCTGGTAGCTGTGCCTGGGAAAAAGGTGTACAGAAGAATTTATAGAGAGAGTTCTGAATCTAATTCAAACCCCAGACAGATTTCTACATACAGAATACTTATTTATGACATTTTCACATGAAAAACTATTTTGAATACTTTTTCTTTTAATCCTCCCATGCAGATGGACTTAGAATTTGAATCCACTAAAGAAAAAAAACCACACCTTCCTTTGCTCATATGTCCACAAATTTTGCATCCAGATTTTGAAATCCAATGTCTCAACTGCTTTTTGTATTTTCAGCAATTATCACATCTACAGACCATCAGCAGACATTTTTTTTCCTGAGATCCTTAGATTTTCAATGATTTATCCTGTATCTTGATAGCAACAACATAGGATGACCAAGCCAAACACTGGGAATAACTGATGTCTTGCTAAAGATATAGCCTCACAGTGTCACTGCAATATCCAGGAGATGTTCCACAGCATTGCTTAAATACCAAACATACATTTCTGCTTCTTAGTTCCCTCCATTTCCAAGAACAGAACCCAGTGGAGATCAACACGTATTTTACTAACTTATGTTTAGTTTTTCTCTATCATAGACTGATCAGAGAAATTACTGGAACCAAGCCTGTGAAAATATCCAAAGCCTTCCTATAATGACTGTTTGACAACACTATTCTGATCTTATTCAAATACTTGGCTAAGAGGTGTTATGATCTCAGACTTCTAAATTCTCTGAAAGACAGAATAAAAGCAAACTAGTAAGGCAGCCTGAACAAAAATGAGGTGGGAGAACTATCCTTTTATGTCACACTTTTCAAAAAAAATTTTATAATAAAACTTGCATTTAATTTGATCTGATACAAACTACCAGAGAGCTCTCTGTTTTTCAGCACTGAAATAATTTCCCAACTGTACAATAAAGTAACATTCATGCACTGCAGGTGAAGTATTGCCTTGCCAAAGCTGGATGCACACAGCTGCAATGAAGCTTTTTGTTTACTATGTCTCAGCATTGGGTGGGGCTACTATTAAGCCAATACGTCTCCTTTTTTTAGATTAGTTTCTTGATTTCTTTTTTGTTTTAAAAGTGTGTATGTATATGTATATATACACATATTCCTGCAGAGGTGTTCAATTTACATACTTTTATCCACATATCTGCAATTTGTCCAATAATACTATAGCCACTACTTTTGCTTTGAAATATTAGGATAATTAGCACGAAGGAAGACAGAAAACATTTTAGAAAGTATATTTCTTGCTAGGAATGATTCTTGTATTCTAAAATTGTTATTTAGCCATCACTGAAACACAGTTAGACCTGGTATGAAGCGTAGAAGCCATTTAAGGAACAATACAAAACAGTTCTGGCAGTAATATGAAAATATAGAGTTGTCAGCAGCATTGGCCTGACTGAAGCGCCCCAGAAGGCAGAACCACATTAGGCCTGTCTTTCACTACACTGGGACACGAATTCACTGCTCAGATAGAAAACATGTTATTTGTGATGTTTAAAGATCATGCCGGGCCAAAGGTCCTTGAGCAATCAGTTCCATCTGTGTCCGCATACCAGACCGGGAGTATCCGCAGCTCCTCCACGGCCTCCTGCCTGCAGCACAGATTCACAGGGACAGATCTTCACACCCACCCAGACCCGCAGACTGAGCTCTCCGGGAGCCACCCCGGCTTCTCTCTGCAAACTGAGAGGAGCCACTGCGCCGGGGTGCAAGAGCCGGGGCTTCCAGTTCTGTTGAGTAAGAACTACAAGTCCCTCAAAGGCTGCGGCTGAGTGAAGGGATGTTCCCGCGTAGTCCATCAGCAGGGTGATTCACTGTGATTAGCTGCGCTGGGTTCACTGACTCACTGCGGCACCGTGTTTGCTGCAGCAACTGCTTCCAGCTTCTCACTGCGACAGTGTTCACTCCACAGGCAGCTTTTCAGTCACGACTTCTCCACTATGCTCTTCCACCTCTCTCCCCCCCCCCCCCCCCCCCCCCAGCAAAGCACAGATGCCAGATGACAGGATAAATTGAATTAGTGAAGCTGCAGTAGCTGAATGATGGAAAGGGCCGGTAAAACACAGTAACTTATACAGTATTATAATTTATACAGTACATTCTAGTTTAAGCTAAACTGTTTTATATTGCATTGCCTCAAACTAGGAACATGGTTTTCAAAGATCATCTGATGTGGGCAAATGCACTGAATTGCTGAAATTATAATCTTAGTTCTAAACTGTAAAATTAAGAAGAAGGTAGTTTTTCTTCCAAGCTTGGCACCCACTCTCCAAGAACCCAGGTTAAGCAGCAGTGTCACCTAACGCACTGCAGGACTGAGATCGGGCAGATACCTACTCTGCTTTATACATTACTCATCTCAATAGGTATGAAGAAAGTGAGCACATGGAGTAAATGAAGATGCATTAAAAGGTTGTCTGGAAGAAGACAAATACCTGAAGCATCAGCAGAGGATTAGCTATGTCAGCCATCTGGGGATGAAGTCAATTAGTGGGGAGAGGAGGAGCTTGAAATGGTTATTCTAAGTGACTCTGATCAGAATACTTCCACTTTTCTAAAGAAAAGAGAAATTCCTTTCCTACAGGAACCATTTGTAGAGACAGTTTAGTACAGAGCTTGCTCTCTCTCTAGCAGTAATGCCAAAAAACTTTGTAATCATGGATGAGTCACTTCTCCATTTTCTGCTCTAGCAGAACTAACACCATTTGCCACCCCAGCCTTGAGAGAAATTGCAAGCAGCAGACAGCCTTTACACTGTGTTCCAAAGATGAAAGTATTTGAATAAACATTAAGCAGTAGTATGCTGTCAAAATTCACTGGCAACACATGGTGGGGCTGAAAAAATAGAGACATTGCACAGGAAATGGAAAATGATGGGAAGGACCTTCCCCTGGTAAGAATTCATTGACCAAAGAAATGGGGAAAGGACAGAAAGCCTGCAAACAGTAACACCAGTCTCTCTTCATCACCATGTTTGCTCCCTTTATTCCTGGGCAATCCCAAAGAATGCAGACCCACATTTGTTCCCACAGGAGAGTGATAGTTGCCAGTCTCATGCCCCGTGCGACCTCTAATTAGATCCTCTGTCAGCCAACTGTGCTGTCCAAATTCCAGAATACAGGAAAAAAAAAAAAGGCAATAAAACAGTCTGTGACCTCTGAAAGTTTGCTATTTACTTTTCTGCATTAATGTGCTCTTCTACATGAGCTGCTGGTTTCCCACTGGCTTTTCACCGCATATATTCTAACATACTTCAAAGTGGGCACTCAAAACAAGACACAGCGAACTATTTCATTGTAAAGCATGCACCATGATCCAGGTCACTTACAATAAACCAACCTGAGGGCACTGTAACTTATTAACCAACTTTCTCTCCTGGCATTGTTCACAGTTCTACAGCCACAGAACTGCCGTGAGCCTGTTGCAATCACCAGCAACCAGCCTGTCTCAGGAAGTTACTCCGGGCTATAACCACGAGGAAAAGCTGGTTTATGAAGAGTTCTCTGAAATAAGAATAACAGGATAGGTTCAAATATTGCCTGTTATGGATCCAAAATTAAGCTCTTTGGACACTTCCCCACACAATGATTTATCTTTCAGATTCAGTGCTGTGAAACACTTCATTGATGTTCATTGAGAATTCATGATCTAATTTGTTTTCTTTAAAGTACAGTATTTAAGTTAATCCAGTGCGTTTTTGCCCCAGATATGTGTGGAAGAATAATGGTGATTGGAAGACTTTAAATTTCTTTCTACTTGCCACAGTAGGCAGAAATATAGAATAACTGTTTCCCTGGAGAGGCAAATATGTCTCAGGAGAAAAAAAAAGGAGCCATCAAACTTTAAAAGCAAATAATCCTGGTTGTGAAAATCATGTGCTGCTACCATCCCGGTTAAAGATGAGACTGACTGTGCTCCAAAACAGGAAAGAACTGCTACTCCCAGAGGGAAGTGAGCACAGTGTTTATGTTCTGGAATCATGACATGCCCGTAACAGAAACACAATGACAATTCCAAAAGGGCAGGAACTCTACTTCCAGCCAATGAAGTTATAATTAATACCCATGAGAAAATTAGAAGCAATGTGAGCACACAAAACTAGCCCAGAGAGTGAGCTGTAGAAGGAATCAACACAGCTGATCTTGAATGAACACTGAAAGAAAATGATATGAAGACAATTTGCTATCACACTTCCACGTGTGCTGCTTGTCCTGGCATGTAACAGGGAGAAGTCACAGATATTGCAACTATTTAGGTAACACAGAACCAGGTAATGTATTACATGCAACTATTCGGAATCCGTTTTCCCTTTCTTTTTGTCAGCCAGTAAAATTCGCCAAAACAGAAAAATCACCAAGATAACTGCACTGATTTGATTACATGAGCCATTTCTTAAAACGTAGCCCTGACAAATTCCTGAAATTCCACTTTTCTGAGGTAAGGATTGGTGGAAAACAGGAATGCACACAGAAGTAAACACTGCCTCCATTTAGAATAGTCCACAACAGAAAAAAAATGACTGTAAACACATCTTTCAAGCTATTGGCTTCAGGTTTTAACACTGAGATCTGTGAGCATTTAGTACTTCTGTTTTTGCAAAAGTCTGTAACAACACAGCATTACGGCCATGAACTTCCCTAGTCTACTGATATGCAAAGTGCACCGGGACATACAATCTAATCCTTTTTAAACTGCAACCAAGTATGTGCAAAATTATAATAGTGCTGGTGGTGACAGTGTAACACAGGTACAAATTCCAGAATTACTCCTGGATTCAAATGACAGCATAACATAAAATTACTGAGCTAGAGTTTTGCAGGGGCTAATACAGAGGTACTTCCACCTCCCAGGCAGGTGCCTTATCCCAGGATGCTAGAGGGCTGTGCTCCTTTTCAACTGTTTTATTTCTCTTCCCATGTATCTTGCTGTAGTGTGTCACAGCGTCAATAAGACCATAAAAAGGAGCATTGATGCAAAGAATAGGAGGCAGTCTAATGGTGCTCAGTGCACCCTGGTGAAAGTTAAGAGATATGGATTTGTACTCCCACAGACTGAAGAGGGAAGAGAACCCTCTGATTAGCTTCTTAGACAAGACAGGAGTTCTTCAGATTTGTTTTCATCCACAAATCATTTGGTAGATAGCAAATATTCAAGAAGCATACTGAGAATTTATCTAATGCCAACATATGTACAGTCTGGCAATTGCAAATGACAAATGTTCCCATCAGTAAAAAACAACAAAGAGTTATTCCATGCCCCAGAACAGATTGTCTGGTATTGCTTGACACTGTGAACAGTCATTCTGCTCATCTATTAAGGGTAATTATAGTGACTGGATAAAATAATCTTTTCTGTCTTTTCCTGATTTTTTTCATCATTCCTAAACTACCACCACATAGAAAATAAGATATGGTGTAGATTACTGACTCTGTTAAGCAACAAACAGGAATAGCAGAATATGGTTACTTTTATTATTTAGAATTAAAATCATAATTAACTGAGGTGAAGTTAACATCAAAATGGTTTCTAGTCAATAGGTAATAGCACAGTTCTTAGTAGCTGACAGAAGTCTACAGCCTACACTTCCCAGAAGCTGTAAAGTACCATTTTAAAAAATGCTAAGAATGCAGAGCATCTTGCTTGGTTCAGACCAAGCTTTCCCCACATGCTGCCAAATGAGAAAAGTGTTAACACACATTTGTGATCTGTCTTCTAGGTGCAGTAAGATTGCTCACTGGCCTGCATTTGGGAGTTTCTTGTTGTGCATTCCTTCACCTGTGTTCCCAGTTCTGATAAATGGGCAGGTTATTTGTTGATCTGCTGTATTGCCTGGCAGGGGAGAGCCATTCCCTTTTTCCACAAAAGCGTGCCACATAGAGAATGCTCACTCAAACTACATACACAGCAAGAGTTTATCCATATAACTTGATCACTGTGAAAACAAATTCAGTTCTTATATTTCCTTTTTATTTTTTCTGTACATACATCAGACTTTGTGGGCTAAATGGCCTGGCTGCTGAGGGAAAGTTACAGAATCTTATCACATCGGACTTGAAGATTACAGAACATTTGCTAACTGTTAAAGCAACAGAAATAAACAGATGGGGAAGAGGTTAAACCCCTATCTCAATATCAGCTTGAGATACGTAGCATTGTTTTTAAGCTCTTGAAATGTCAAATAGAAATTACTCACTCATCAGACTACTGCCATATTTAAAAAAAAAGAAAAAACAAAAAACAAACCAAAACACAACAACAACAAAAAACCAACCAAACAGTATTTCTAGCTGACATGCTTCATGCAGTCTACATCTTGTAACAAAACCCTTAATTTATGAATAATTACAAAGCTACATAAGACCAGATATTAAAAAAATTAAGAGAAGGTGTTTGGAATCTAGCCAGGTATCAAGAAAGAGCTGCTCAAACTGTGATAGATCCTAACAGAAATTTCCTATATCCTGTAATACAGACACAAGGGTCTTCATTAGTCAGTACTATCCTATTGTCTAGGACTACTTCATTCTATCTAGATAGCAAGGTATTGGATTTATGAGAGAAAACTGTGTGCATCAACAGCTGGATTTTGTCTTGATGGATCCCTCCTCTAGTGCACTCCAACTATGTGACCTATCCCACTGTGTCTTCATTACCTCAATGAGGTGACAGCCCTGTAACTACTCTAAGACATTTAACTTCTGCTTGTTCCCCACGCTGCACTCATCACTGCACAGGCC